TAAATTCTAATAAAAATTTTAAATGAATAACCCTTATGATTTATGAAAGATTGCTGCAGATTTTGAGAGTGGAAGAATCTTTTTTGACCTTCCTGGAGAAAAGTAGATACCTAAAACTCATGGTCGAAAGGTTTGTAAGTTTAGCAGCAGTAACAGACTCTCTGTAAGGTCAGGAAAGAGGGTCGAGCAGGTACACCTCTTTCTTTGATGTAAGTCGTGTCGAAGAGAATATATTCTCTTCGAAATAACTTTTTTGTTATGATGAAGAGAGAACATTACTCGCTATATCCGTTCAGACATTGATTAAGCTGATCTTCCTTTATTTTGAGGATAAAACACTAAAATTTATCATGTCTGCCACTCAAATTAAAAGAAGTGAAGTTGTAATCAATTGTACAAACTTCATAAGGTTGGAAACTAATGATTTTATCATGAATGAAAAACTAGTAGGAGAAGGCAAAGTTAAACAAATCGACGAATCTCGTTTAGAGGTCGTCGAAAGTACAACCGTGGCAGATTGCTTCTTGATAACTTTATAGAGAGTCTTGATGATGCTCGCCGTAAAAATAACTATGGTGAACGTGTCAATGGACCATGAGTTTTTGGCATGGTTGAAGAAGGATCCAGGAAGGTCAAAATGTTTGTTGTGGAAAAAAGAGATCGCGATCCTCTGCTTCATCTCCTACTTGAACACGTGGATAAGAATAGCATTATTCAGAATGATGGTTGGAAAACCTATTCCGGACTAGGTACTGTGTTTAACAGTCATAAGGTCGTTAATCATTCAGAAAATTTCATTGACCCTAATACTCGTCGTCATACTCAATTAATTGAGTGTATTTGGGGTCTGGCAAAATTGAACATAATAAATAATAAGAGGAACCACCCTTACAATGTTACAAAACCATTTGAGCTTTTTCTGTTATCTTTTTGAAGAAAAATCTTTTGAAATTTTTTAAAAATAATAGGAAAAGATAATTAAGGTATCACAATTATTATTATTATCGAAATCGGTAGAAGATGATTAATTAAGTTTATTACTGTCAGATGTATCTTTGCTGTTTATTAT